ACATGTATTCATACAATATCTTCTCATTCGTCTGAAGTTTTGGACGTTGCATCAGGTGATAATCTTTTGTTCGCCTCAACTAATTGGAATCATTAACATTTTATAAATCTTGTTATAAAGCTTTTAACAAATATAATAATTGTTTCTAATACAGTAAATAGAAATTTATGTTGTATAATATTAAAATTTAATTCACTTATATAATTAATATCTTGAAAATGATTAACAGATTTGTTGAATTTCGTTTCACACATAATTATTTAAGACTTTGCTATAAAAGTATGTCTTTAAATTTTATCAGATTTGTAAAAGGCTATAAAATTAATTTCAAATCTGATAAACTCAATTTACTTAATGCATTAAAAGATTGTTTTGTGAAACTGCAAGTGTATCTATATTTAGTTATCATGCAAGATTAGAGGTTCCTGTTAAATTATTAATGTTCAATTATCTAGAACAAGAACAATGTAAACGTAATTTAATGCCTGGAGGTATGCATCCCTTATGATACCCATTTAACTAAACAATCAAACATTGCATTAATAGTTACTCGAATTGACTTTATTCTAGACAATCAATTTAAATTCAATATTTTCAATGTCTTAAACAAATGACATACATTTTATTAAAAAATGTATTATGCCAAATTTAGTATGGGCTAAAAAAATACAAATGACAGAATAAAATATATGCTCGTAAATAGAAATTAATGCATTAAAGACTAATAAGGAATGTGACACATTATCCATTAAACAATAAGATTACTATTTCCAGATCTGTGGATAAATAATACGTTAAAATATTATGTTAAAAAAATGGTTATAGTATGCAAATATTAACATACTTTAATAGTCCTATCGGCACATCCAGTTATTAAATTATGTTGGCCTAATGTCATAGCATGTACAAAACCTTAAAACAATCATAAAAAAAATTATAAAAATAACTTAATATATATAGACTTCGAGAATCAAATTTCAAGTATGCTAAAGTATTAGAAGAAATACCTTTATGACCTCTTAATGTAGCATTACAAATAAGGTGGTTTCGTGTGTCCCACCGTTTAATTGTATGATCAAAACTTGCACTAAACATTGCCCCGTTAGTATATTCCAATTGCCACACCTCCCAATTGTGTCCAGACAGTGTAGCAATGGACGAATAATCATTAAGGTTATAAACATGTATGACAGCATCATACGTCGAGGCGAACAAAAGATTATCACCTGATGCAACGTCCAAAACTTCAGACGAATGAGAAGATATTGTATGAATACATGT